TATTAGAATGATCAAGGATACAAAATTGCCTACAAAATGATGGGTTGAAGGAGGCCTGATTTCTCGGTAAAGTCCTACTTGTCGTGTACGACGGTGTGACCAGGGTCCTGTGCTTTATAGGGCTGGTATGTCTGCTGACTCAAACTGAGAGTTCAGATATGATAATAAAGGCTTTTGGACGATCTTTTGGAGTATATGAAGAAGTGAAATTAAATGCATAAAGACAATCCTCCTCTTCAAGTAATCGCTGAGGTTGCAATCCAGAAGAATAGTATAAATGGTACACCTCTAAGGTATGCCATCTTTGTCTGCAGGCATACGCGCGAATACGTGTGTATGTGTATTTGTGTGCGCGCATATCAAAGGAAGAGATTGGGAAAGATAGATATAAGAAGCAAATATAAAAGCGAGCCTGACAAGCGGTTGTTTGGGGCGTTGCGAGGAAGAAGCTGTGAGCACAGAGCAAACGACACAGCAGTTTCGTTACCTTCGGCCTAAGAACACACTCGAATGGACAAAGCATTTGTATGCTCTTGCCGGAGGGAAAAGGAGGGAGTTTTTAGTCATATTTAGTGTAGAGTTTAACAGTTAAGAAGGCAGAATGCAGGATAATAAATACTCCCTGATCAGAGTAAGTAAAGAGAACATACACACGCACACCATATGTGGGAGGACATCAGCACATTACGAGAACAGGTTCGGATTAGGGAAAGTGGGAAACGATAGCTTGGAATCAGTTGGTACAGAGTAGAGGTTCACTGTCGACTACTGAACAAATGAAATCAACTTATTTAATACACCACAAATTAATGAATATATTCTGATTCTCAGGCCTGACCAAAGTTATTTTTTCTCGGTAAAGTGTTCAAAAATTCTGGAGAGGAGTCAATCGAAATAGAAAAACTCGTGCGACGTCCGCTTCGTGCGTGCGACTCATCTAAAAAGCAGCACGATGTGTGCCACCGAGGCATTAAAGGAGCTTGGAAACGGAGGCAGAGGTTTCTGCTGGGGAGGAGGTTGGTGGTAGTGTCAAGCCCAGAAACAGCCATCATAACGCCTAAGAGAAGGGTGGGCGACGAGAGCTTGATCTTTCCCAAATTTGGCAATGGAAGCGTCGTAATGATTCAGACAAAATGTTTACTACTCACATGTCAGGAAGGGCAGACCTGCGGGGTACTGTACATCCGGTGTGGAGGCTCTGGGAAGTCTAGGAGAAAAGGGGTAAATTAAATAGCGTTAACAAATCACCAATTCTGGAGACAGGTTGGCAAAAAACAGAAAAAAAGACTGGAGAGAGAGGGCTCACTTGTGATCATTGCATTGGATGACGTATGGTGTCCATGGGAAATATTGCACAAGAACGAGGAATGTGTAGAGACCTAAAAAATAGCGGTCAAATAGGGGAATGGAATATGAGACAGGAAGGTAGTAGAAAAGAGGATGAAAAATTAAACAAAATCAAAGTGAAATTCGATTACGAGTAAATATATCAACTGGTCGGGTAAATTTAATTTAGAAGCTATGAACTACGCATAATCTTTGGTCTGGTTTTTCGGCAGCCCAGCTTTGAAATATGAACAAGTGCTTTTGCTCGTTGCAATATGGTTATTTTCAAATGTTAAAATAAAACGCATACTTTTGGATAGGAATTAACCGACCACCAGTCTGCCCGTCTATCAATCCATCCATTTAGCTGTGTCAACATCTATTATTCATCTGTCTTCTCTGATCAGAGTAAGTAGGGAGAACACATACACACAGACCATATTTAGGAGGACATCAGCACATTAGGAGAAAAGGTTCATATTAAGGAAAGTGGGAAACGATAGTTTAGAATCAGTTGGTACATTGTTGAGTACTGAACAAAGGAAATCAACTTATTTAATACAATATATATATATATATATATATATATATGTATAGTAGAAATC